TTGGAAAAAAATAGTTCAGGACTTCTCGACTCGGTTTTTAATCAGGAATAACACTACTTGCTTAGTGGGAGCTTTTTAAAATACACCCTGTATATTTGCAAATATATATAATATATATTAAAAACTTATCTATTTGAATATAGCAATTGAAGAATATGACAATTTATTTAATAAAAAATAACAGTAAGTATTTTAGCAATAATTATTTTTTAATAGTATATTATAATATATATCATGCTTCTCTTTTAAACAATCTGTTTTATTACATGTACCTGGCATAAAAGATACGTAGAAACATTAAACTTAACTGCTAAGTTAATCAAGATAGACAGGTATAAAGAATAATTTAATTCTTCTCTTCCATTTAAGCTAGTACATTTGATTCATTTTTGACATTTATAAATATTTATACAATAAAAATGTTAATTAAATGTCTAAACGTTTGAATAGAAAATATGCAAAAATGAAGTGAATTGTCAAAACATTACTGTGCTGGGAATTAAAATCGTCAAAATGTGCAGGATAATTTTGTAATTAAATCGTAATATACGAACTCGGACGCAAGGAAACGGTACATTTCAGAATTAAAATTTCAATTTCAACACCATGAATAAGATTATATTCCGTCGAACATAGTCGTGCAAATTTGATTTTCTCAAGGTAATCAGTGCTCTTGGCTACGAACTGTTTCATTAGTATTAGTTAGCATTTGTATTTATGGAATAACATGCGAGGCTTTAATCTAATAGTCTACACGGATCAAACGATTATCGGAATTTAACTTTGTGTACAGACCGAGAGAGATCATAAGGAAAATCATAGGAAATCCTGTACAAGTTATTACGCTTGAATTCTATCTTCTGAAAGTATATATTTGTAAATATCTGAAAGTATATATTTGTAAATATTTATTTCTTCAAAACGAGACTATAAAATTAAATATGTGTTTATAAGTTTTGTTTAAAATAAAAATTAAAAAATATCTAAAACTAAAATTATAAAAAATAGTATAACTATAATATTTAGAAAATATGTATTTATATAGATTAAGAATAGCAGATATAAATATAATTAATCTCGTTGTTAATCTCTGTGAAATTACATTTCACAGCAACTGAGCATTAAATTTTTAACAATGCTAGATTATTTCAATTTTTAAAAATAGTTAAATTCTCGATAATTCATTTAAAATAACATAAAATTTATCTTTAAATATAATTGCAAACTCTATAGTTTCATAAAATCTAAGATTTTATCGAAAATTCTTTTAATTTTGGTGCTTAAGTTTTAAATATATTAATTTTTCAATAGATACAATTAAATGATAATCGTAAATCGATGCATTTTTAAAAATATAATAGCATTAATTGGCGATGTCCACAAATTTCGTGAAACTATTGTGGAACTATTCAGGAACGTAATTGTCTCCTTTCGTAAATTAATGAGAAGTTATCCATCTATGCGCTATTCGAACATGGTACAATGATCGACATGCGCTGGTCGAACGGGAACGTCAATTTTAATGTGGTAAACAATGTCATTAGCACGTTGATATTATCGAGGTCAACCCATCAAATTGCAACGTGATAATTACACTTACCAGAGACCAATAACATAAATTGTTTGAATCTTGCAATAAATTACATTATCTCATCAATTTACAATTTACCATTTTTTACATATATTTGATATTATATATTGATATTAAGTTGTATTACTTAATAATACTATACATTATGTTTAAATAAGAAATTGTTTTCCTGGAAATTTTGTGTTACACTTACATGTATATATCCTGTGATGATAAGAATAATATAAAATTCATCACAAGATAATAACTGAAAATGATTAATTGCTGAAATTAAAAATACATTACTTTTATATCATTTTTTTCTAATTAGAAGCATTGTATGTAATTATCTTAAATTTGTAAAATATGACACACAAGAGTGTAATTGCACTTGAAAAATCGGTATATGATTGTTTAAACCATTTATTATACGCTTACTGATTAAACAATATTCCAGACAACGTAGTTACAGAGATATTACCGTTTAGAGTTACTTGAAATCGCGCGTCGAGCGATCGATTCTTTTTCAAAGCATTGTCCAGTCATTAACATTCTCTTAGTCTAGGGGAGAAACCGCTGCATGGGTTTTCACGCATCAGCGAGAACTCTTCATTCAGCAATGCTGAATGGTGCATTTGTTGAGTGCTATTCGCAGTACGAGGGATTATTCCCGTCGAAAATGCACGATATATGACCGTTTGGGACACCTATTGCGGGATAATGAATTAATGGAGGAGACGGGGGTAAATGAAACAATGTATTTAAACTCGCAGCACCGCCGACCGCTGGGTACGCCGTCTTTTCCCGTTTTTTGCTCGTTGATGGGTAGAAAAATTTATAGCGATCATAAATTCCTTTTTGGTAATTTTGCGTGGTACATTTGATCACTCAGCTAATTGAGTCGGTCATTTTGAAAGAGAATAACTTATAAAAGGTGAACCTTTTGAAACCATCATCCAATTTTTATCTAGTGACATGGATCCATTAGATCGAAACGATAAAAACGCGGATTTTGTTTCTCAGCAAAATGCCAAAAAAAGTATCAATCATCACACGAGCGAACAGTGACACGACCGCCACTTTTATTTTGCGAAACAAGTCTAGTAGAGATCGAAGCGATCCAGCGGATTTTGTTTCTCGGCAAAACGCAAAAAAAGTAGCAATCATCAAAAATGGACAATGGGTCATGATCGTATGAGTCTACTGCTTCGACAGCGAATAAATCCAACGCGACATATTTTTCACGATATTTCACTACTGAAATATCCGGGAAAAGAGCAGACGCGTGCGAGCGAGAGCGAAAATTGTATCGCCGGAGCATCGCGCATAGAATTTATACGCAGCGAAAATCTCATCCCCTCCATTAAGACTGGATTTTTATCTCTTTTTCTTTTTCCAATAGTATTTGTTAACGTCAAATCCTTTCGCTTATCCATTTCTATTCCTAGTACGAGGCCCCAAGGTTAAACGCGAACAGCGCGTTGCATGCGCTGAAATCCGCAGGGAGATGTTCCTTGCAACTCGTAGCCAGAAACATCTCTCTGGTGAACATCGGGTATAACTAATTTCGACGTTATAAACAAGGTCAGCGGCGCAGCGACGGAGGATAATATCGTTAGGCTGCGTTGCATCACGGCAGAATTATCGCGATTAATTATGTGCGCTGGTTACGTAGACCGAATATACAAGATTATTCTGTGCGTGCGTGTCGCTTACATTCGGATGTAGCTTGAATTCGCTGAAATGGAGCCCAACCGACAGAAATTACGAGATTATTAGAAATCATATGTGATTAATATTTGGAATATTTCAGATAAGCCAAGATTATTCCTTCTTCTCATTTAGTAAAATTAAAAAAAAAAATGAATTTTTTGTAACAATTTGTAATAATAATTCAAAATGTAAGATTTTCCATATAGATTTGCCATTTTAGATGTGAGACTTTCCTAATAATATCAGAGAAATATTTTTAGATATAATTTGCAAAAATTTTTTACGTTTCATCTATCTCTCTTAATTGATAATTTCTTTACAGGTGAGATTTTATTCAAAAGATATTTAAACATACGGTTCGCAATAGAGTTGTCTCAATTATTTCTGTAAAAAATACAAAGCGACTACTATGCTCAGAGAGATAAAAAATCCAGGATTTACTATTGTCTTGAAATTCTTGATAACAAATGTATCTCTAAAGTTTCTAAAGTCAATTCATTAATTAATTCTTTCCGTTCAGCAATAGTCGACTCAAGTTTGCTCGCGTTGTGCCAACTTCCCAACGGGTGCTGTGCATTAAATTCGGTGATTCCGGCAGTTTGCAATTTACCGTCAGCTTAGAGAACTTTCGAAAACACGCAATACTTCTTAACTTTGCCGGCCTCGTTCGTTCGTTCATACAGACGTACATTCTTTCCTACAATTTTTCATCGCGCACATCAGCGACGGTGCTATGTATGTGTCTATGTGAAGAGGGTGATAATCAAGATTAACAAGTTCTAAACTCCGTAATTTGTCAGTGTCAGAATATTCGCGCGTGGTTAAGGATTATCGGCAGCCAGCGCTTGCACTTTCAATCGGGGATGCACGCGTGCAAGGTTAGCAGCTTGTTCTGGTTTTCGGAGCAAGGTCGCATCCAGGCAAATTACGGAAAATTATGGCGGGCGAAATGACGGTGCAGCAGCCCGGAAATATCGTCGCTAATTATGACACTCGTCGTAGACCGATTAAACAATTATCGTTTCATTATCGGAAAAGCCATATGCACCGCACTCTTGCTTGTAATATCAATTATGTCGAATAGATTGTCGCTTGAATACATGCATTTTATGCTCCTCGAAAAGCGTAAAAAAGCCTTCCTTGTTTACTAAAAAAAGAAGTACTATTATCTTTTTTCAAATTTGAATGATGTAATAAGATAAATATTCAATAAACATTGCGTCTACTGTTTTAATTAGTAAAGATTAAATTAACGCGACATATTGTGCTGTACTTATTATCATCGTTAATAATCCATAATAATTCATCAGTAACTATAACGTTACTTAAGCCGATCGCATCGTCTTTGATATTCAAAAGATGCGAATTAATCAAATTTACAATCATAATTTTTGCAAATAAACTTTAATTTCTTTTCATTTCGATTTTTTATTTCTCTTAAAAATCCGTTTAATAATAAATACAAAATAAATAATTAATTTTACAGATAGTATCATAAAAGCATTATAATATGATGCATTTTCTATATTCAATTAAGTTCTTAATCATTTTGTTATTTATTTGAAATGTGAGAGAAAAAGAGACATATTTAATTTATTAATATACATCTTAATAACAATTTGTTAATTTAATAAATTTTAATAGAAGAGTTTAGATTGTAATCAATAATTGCAATTAAAAAAAAGATTGTGCAAAAATTTGAGCAACAATTCTCGATATGGGATTAAATTTATCGGAAACATTTTTTACAAATGCAAATATGCTTTTCTGATTGCGAGTGGTTTAAGAATTCTTAGACTTGACTTTCTCAGTAAACTTCTAATTATAAAAGAATCTTGGCACGATAGTTTCGCATCCAGGAGCACTTAACAGATGTTCGCTTGTATGCGCGCGCGGCTTGCGAGAGTCATTCTATAAAACACATAGTAGCAAGTTGAGTTTGTTTGCTTAAGTCTCAGCATTTCACTTGTATCCACCATTTATCACTCATCAAACTCGGTACACATCAGAGAAAAGATAATATAATATCATATCCTAGATATTCCTTGTTAAAACTTGCCAGTAAAGCATCTTAGGCCGTCCATAAGGAAAGACTTATATACTTTCGCAACTTTTCGAAACTGTATTTCTTCCACTTGCTGTATATATGACACCTGCCAGGTCGCGAACAAAGTAGCTAGTAACAATGTGCGATTAACGATGACGGCGAATGTATCATCCTCGTTACTTTAATGCATCCGTCGCTGGCGATCGCTGATGCTCACGCATCGTGACGTATTACGAATAGTTCCGACCCACGTTATCAATCTTACTTTCACGCGCGCCGTAAATAGGGTGAGCATTCTCAATAAAGTGTCTGTCGCGTATGTGATTTTTCTACCAGTTTAGACTTAACCGTTTAATTACATACGTTGTCCGATAAACAAATCAATATCTGTCTAACAACTTTCAATCTTATACATACGTTTTACATTCACGCGAGATAGAAATTCCACTTCGTTGAAATCGGTACGAGACGTTTATCGAACTCTTCGTATTAGCTGCTGAGAGAGAGAATTGATGAGTTAGTCTGTCTTCGTTTGTATCAACGTTAATTTTTTTTTCCATTCGAATGTGCATGCGAATCGTAAACGATCGACCGTGAATATTATCTTACCAGGAGTTAATCCAACACTCTCTCAATACCATCTGCCTCTGCATTACGACCTAATATTTCTCGTTCCAACATGCGACACGGAATGTAAGCGATCGATCGATAGAAGAACGGATGATGTAGTGTGATTCATCTGAAAGTTATGATGGCACTTTATTCCAGGATTTAACTTTTTTGATTTCGACAGATGACCGTTCAATTACGTGCGCGCGAACAGGTGAACTATTACGATACCCTTATTACATCGATCTTTGCTTAAACGTGATATTTCCTGAATCCACAAAATTTGCGTCAATATATAGACGAATACACGTGATCGATCATTAATAATCTTGTAGTGATGACATTATCCTTTGCATTAGTGATGACATTATGTTTTGCATTAGCATATCGCATTGTTACATATCCCTCATTGAATTGTAATTGAATGCGCTTACGACGGACTAAACTGCTCGATAGCGCAAATGATCACAGCTGGTCTTCCGACGTTATTTCGTTATTCAATGTTAGGTGAAGTTGATGATCCGAAGGGATAGTAATCAATCACAGCCAATCTCGCAGCTCCAAGAGAGTTCCGATACCACCGATATCAATAATAACGATGTGTCTTCAACTGGAAACACCATGACATACTGCCGTTTTACAACTTCGGCGAGCAAACTAGGGCACTCACATCCTTGCACGATACAATCCGCGAAGTCACGCGAAAAAGGATGAGAGACACGATAAAATGATAATATTACACAATTTCGCTAACACACATTTCGGAATTCAACATGCACGGAGTCTTACACTCACGCACGTCACAAAGTCCAGTTCGTCTGCAACGCCAGCTTAAGCGTGACAAACATGGTGAGCAAAGCAGTGCAAGCCATCACTGACGGCGACGATGCCATGCTGTGTTGCATAGCGGCGGGATTGTCGCCTTTGAAAACGTGCACCAGGACGCGCGCCGGTTGAGCATTGTTAGCCTGGCAAGTGTAATTGCCCGAATGACGATCCGACGCTTTTGGCACCTCCAGCCAGCTTTCTCGATTTGCGAGATCAGTGCTGACATTGACGCCCTGATCGACGTCATAGTTGATCATACGGAAGTTGTGATACCAGAAGACGTATAACGGCACCTCCGTCGACTTTTTCACCAGACAATGAAGCTGCAACGTGCTGCCGGGCCTCACGAATTTCTCCGCCGGGCCGGCTATCTCCGCTCTGGCTTCTGAAAATGGCCGAACGTGACACGTGAGACGTGAGCCGCTTATAGCCCCGGATAGACGTCGGGGTATTGTTTACTACTACGGGTGTGCAGGAACCGGGAAGAGAGAATAGCTCGTACAGGGAAGCGACAGGATCTCGGGCACGTAGTGCCAGGGTTTCTCAAATGGCTGTGGTAAAGAGATTGGCATAGCGGGCGATTATCTTGAAAAATTCATCGTATTTAGGCATGAATCTTTTTTAAAATGTTATAACAGAAAATGATAACTAATGATATGCAGTTTTTTTTAGAAAAATTGTTTGGATAGAATAATAATTAAATTTTATATTTATACTATATTCCCTTCAAATGTATAATTGGTGAAAAGTGTTCGTTAATAAATATTACAAGCTATGCTTTTTAATAATTCTAATTAATTGTTTTCAAAGTTTATCAAAGAAATGTGAACAATAGTAATTTAATTTATTATCTTACCTTGTTTTTTTAAAAAATTTAGCTATTCTCTTCATTTATTTTGATATTATATTCTATCAGCTTCTTAAAATAGCTGTTTAAATGCGTGCAATAAGTTGACAATTATTAACGATCGAGTATGCTATAATTTATTAATTGTAATTCAATACTCTTCTGATGAGGGAAACCCCAATGATATTTGGTCTACGAGATTTACGTAATAGGCAATTGATGTAATTGCCACAGCAGGATGATTTATCGGAAATGCTGACATGACGTTTTATCCAATAATATTAAAATTATAATGAACATGCATTATAATATATATATGTTTGTAAGCAGCATTTGTATGAAAAAGCATCTGATTATTAACTTTTCATTTGGAATAACAAGTCTGTATGTTGTTACATATTTCCATTAGTCGAATGTCAATTGCATTTATGACACTCAGATATTGAAGAATATTGATTATGATTTCGATATATGATATATACGATATTTTTTTACAACAACAAAGTATTAATTTTTTATTTCAACACTCAAGCTTGAAATACAGGTTGAACAAAAGAATTTATATTTGTTTATATTACATATATTATTAATACAACGTTGAAAATTTAAAATTTTGTAGATCTGAGAAAGCTCTTTTCATTGGATAATATGATTCAACGAAACGTTTTCCATCATGATTAATTACCTAGTAAGAGCGAATCTCTTGAGATAATTAATTTCTCGAACAATTCACTCCCCATTGAGTAAATTGTCTATTAATTAAGTATTCAATTAGACGATGTTCTGGGACAGTATGCTCCACAGAGTGCTTTTTTCTGTAGAATAATTGTCACGTATGATAAATATTACTATTCACGGAAATTCCAATTTATATCGGCAAGAATGACAACTTAATACTCGAGAATGATAATTGCTGCTATTTCTATTCAAGCTACGTAAAATACTAGCGTCAAGAATGTTATTATGAATTCCATAATTCATAACATTAATAGCTTTAATTACTTTATCAGTTGCTATTCAGTGCAACGCGATATTTCCTAGAACAATCACTCTAAAACGATTATTAGTTTGTTAAACAATCAACAATTGATATTCGATATTCATGTATAACCATAGAAAATTAATACATTCTATTGAGAAGCTGTTTATTTTCACTAAACCTAATAAAATGATTTGAATGAAAATGGTATATATTAATGAAAATTGAAAATTGCGTATACATATCCATATATAATACCTTATACTATCACGGATTATCGCCATGTAGTGCTAATCAATCAAGAGTGGAATCAATCATGGAAAGATAATCTTCTTTTAATATCTGTTCTATCATTAATTGTTGTACTCGTACAGAATTTTTAACAACTTTCAACGTGAATTGAAGCCATTTATTCTTTCGTCTGGATGTTTATATTGATTTTGAAATTTATAAATCAATAGTATTGAGCAATATATGACACACAGAATTTTCAAAATATTTAAATCGAACGAATTGGATTGATAAATTCACGATTTGGACGTAACGTTTCAAAGCGATTACGAACATGTGATATTTTGACAGCTGCATATTTTGAAAAAAAAAATTTACGTCTGCTGGTTATCTACTTTCGCGAAGCACATCGTATTAGATGTCAAGCATTTCAATTGATTGATTTCAAAAACACTCGCTCCAATAGTATTTTTATAAATATTATTGACATATTGCAATGTATGTGTTAAACATTTTTATTCATGAGTTATATTATTTGTATATGACAATAGTAAGATAAATATAAAGATGGAAAAAAAGCGTGACTTTTTCGTGAATTTTTTTTATAAGATAAAGATATATAAAAGCGTCTTCTATTTTTTTCTTTTTTGTTGATTAGAGTTGATTTGAGTATCTAGCTATTATAATACACTAAAAAAAGAGGCCAACTATAATTGCATAGTAAAAAAATCATAGTTGAGATTCTATTTTTATAGTTATTACCACTATAATATATTGATTAATAATAATAACTTTACAGTTGGCGTTAAAAATAACTATATTTATGATAATTACAACTATTCTTTTTATTAGTGTAATATCTTATACGTTTCAATGTTTGCGTTTTTAATAAAAATCCATATCTATTACACTCTTTCTGCACAAGTTATTATTTTCTTTTATTTATTGCATTATTTGCATTACAACCTCATAACATTTCTCTTCAACTTGAATAAGAAAGATATACTATGATATGTTCGCAAGCATCATTTATAAGCATTGGTCGAGTTTCTTGACACAGGAAAATTTTGAAGGAGTTTCTGATCCTGACTTTGAGAAATACTGTCGAGATGACTCACGTTTTGCGGTATCTCGCGAGGAGCGAGGGCGAATTTTAAGTCCGCTCACGCCCTGGCGCGTTTCACCCTTTCACTCGACGCGACCTGACACGCCGCGCGTCGACGGCGAGGGAACAAGAGAGGGGAAAGGCATTATAGTGGATCAGATGTGTGAGAGAGAACACTGTAAACACGCCGACCAATATTCGCGTACTCCAGCTAGATACGCTTTTACTGGCCGATCACTGTTACGACCCCGAACGGATAGTCGAGATGTGATTCGAAACGTTTGCGCGCGATCTGAGGGCATCCCCGATCCTGGAGTGAATATACGTCGATTCCTGCGGGAACTGTCGCAGTTTAAAATCGCTAGAGCGTACACCCTTGTCCGATGCTTGTCTGAACAATTTTTTGACAACCTTTACAAAGCGTTTACGCGGGCCACCCCCGCTTTATCGCGATGAGAGGCCCGATGTCATTCTTGTAAAACGCGACGTTTCGATTATGAACTGGGTTCAGGGGAAATTTTCACTTCTTGTTTACAGACTTCTTGCTCTTTTCACGATGAAAAATATTCTAGTTTTTTTTATGCTCGAACAATAGCACAGAATATTTCAACGTAATATATTTTCATCTTGTTTAATATCACTCAATTGTGTGTTTCTATTAAAAAAATATTATTCGGAAAAATATTAAAACAAGATGTTTTTCATTTAGTTCTTTGTTTTCTTTATATGTATGTATAATTTTACAATATTTTTGAAAAATTTTACAATATTTACGAAAAATTTTGAAGATATTTTATAAAATCATTTATTTTGAAAAAAAAGAGTAAAAAGATTTGAAATTTTGTAATATTTATTTTATTTTTATAGGGGGTCTTATAGAAAACAAACAGATTAAATGTTTTTTAAATCAGATCACTTTATATTAAACAGCAATCCATATATTACACTCTCGTGTGAAATAACCGAATAAATTTATACATTTCTATCTCTCTTTTTATCGTTTTTGGATATTTTTGTAGCATTTTTTATGTAATCAAAACAAATTCTCAACGCGGATCGTTAATGCAAACGAAACGTTGCTATTCCGTCGCATATAAGTATAATAAAACTGACATAAATATCGCACGACGTGGCATAAACTATATCACGTGAGAAATAACACCGACCCACTGAGGATTAATAATTCAAAGTCTCTCGCGGACGTGGAAAAGAAGCGTTGAGCCATTTATAACGGCGATGCTGATAGCCGAGTATCATTCGCGACTTATCAGACGTGTTGCATGTTATCCGTATAGTAATTAAATGGGAAACTAAGAGGGCCGTGTAAATTAGAAATTCGAGATGTTACGTACAGGGAATTGGGCGGCTTATATAAAGTGCTATGGAATATTATATCGCGTGCACATCGGTTATTGGAAGCTTAAGGACGATGTACTGGTATCGGGTGATCAAAGTCGTAGTGGTTTTGCCAAGAGATACAGAAAGAGTGAGAGAGAGAGAGAGAGAGGGAGAAAGAGAGAAGAGCCCGGAATAATCTTCTAAGAACAAAATATGTTCAGAGTTAGAACAAATGGACGAAGGAGTGCGCATCTTGCTCGGCAATTGTATTTTAATGAGAGCTCATTAAGGCCGAGTTTAAAACTATCTTCATTTCAAAGACAATATCACGATCATATTGATTCGAAAGTTATACTCCGGATTCCTTCCGATTCACTGCCTTCATTAAATTCACCTTTCCTTCTGAGTTCTTATTCTTAGTATTTTCAATTAGATCTTTTTCATCCACTTGCGCGCTGCGTTTCGACAGGTTTATTTCAATTTTCTTTATAAGGATGTATGCATCCTCGAAAATTAACATTTGATTAGACTTGCGAGTATTATATTTGTATAATTACAATAAATAAATAAGATGGTTATTTTTAATAATTATAAAGATAACCAGATATTATATCGTTATAAAATTATTCTATTTTATGAAATAACGGAAGTAGCTTATTCACGTCACATTACTTGAAATTAAATTAATAATCAATTCGATGAGAATAAAATAGAAATCTAAATAAAAATATTAATTTACGAAAGTTAGTGGAAGTAGAAGTCTTATTATAAATGTACTTTATATACAATAAACTTTTAATTATTTCTGTTTTTTATATTTTTGATTTTATATCCAATTTAATCAGAATTTCTAAAATAGAAATTTAAATAAAAAACATAAAGAAAGCTGGAATAATTAGTTTTAAAACTAAATAAAAGAATTTATTATTTAAATTGTAAGATTGTGTCTAAATTTCTTTAGAACTCAAAGAATGAAAGCAAAAGTTCATGCTTTTATCAGTGCTTTCTGCTGAGCACTTTTATATTTGATAGCAGATAATTCCATTTATCAGGTTCCATCTTCTCCGAAGCTTTGATGCGATCGAAAGGTCAACAACGGGGAAAATACCCTAAATTCTGCAGACGAGAGCACTTACGGGGAAAAATATAAATATTAAAGACACGTAAGAAAAGACTTTAGTTACGTATAGCGTGCCAAGATGCTCCAAGCAAAAACATGAACCGACATCTCGAGAAAATTACGCGGTGCTGCATACATAAAATATATACTGTCAGGAATTAGAGTATGCATTATAAATAACTTGGCATTATAAATTAACTCTGGTATAAATAAGAAAACGTAATCAGAGCACAAATGCGATTCATCTTACAATAAATCATCGAAAACAAATCGATCCTCGAAGGACGTTGCTTAAGTATTACACATATATGAAATATTATATATAAATATGCATATGAAATGTATGTATACATACATACATCAACACAGCTTGTTATGTCCTATATTACAAAAATTTTATATTATCACACATACATACACCTTATTTATTTATAAATCATTTTATTAATAATTAGATTTTAAATCAATTCGATCGATTAATTAAAAAAATTAAATAATGTTCATGAAGATAGAATATTTTTGATATTGTTATATGTGAATTCAATCAAGTTATACATATTTGCATATCGTCTTTTTTTTACTTAAAATATTCATGTTATACATTCATATCGAAGTAGGATCAGTCCAATCAATATAGAGCTTGATCTGTCGCGTTCAATTCCTTAAATTGTTTTCACTCTCGTCTTTTGAGATGTCAAGGCTAGAAGAAGCGCGTGCGGGCAAAAAGATGTATTGAAAGCATTTCAGACGATGGTATATAAATATGAAAGAAGTAGTGACTCACATATATGTGAATGTAATTCGGCAAAAAATAGCGGGGAACAAAGATAAAAGCTCAAGAAAATGATATAGATAAAATTATAGTATTTACCAGATTCCAAAATATTCTGTATAAAAAAATATCAAGAAAAAGAATATTTGTATTATATAGACATACAAAAGCTGTGAAAAATGATATTAATTATAAGCTATAAAAATACATACCAGATATTCCTGAAAAATAATATAATCACCTATGTGTAATTTTTGCATCGCAAAAGAAAATATGAAAAGTATATATATATGTATATAATTTTTAAAAGTTTTATAAAGTTCTTTCTAAAAAAGAAAAAATTAAAGTGATATATATTTCCTAAAGATATTATTATCGTGATAAAAATACACTACATTATTTGATAGAAAATTTTTTTGCTCAAAGTAACATCTCAGACAGGATATTATCCTATAACAGAAATTTCGTCCAAGTAGATAAATCATCTTTTGCTGTTTAGTTGTCCTTGTGCTTATTTTGTCTTTGTACATGTATAAAGATTATTATTAAATTTATAAAATATTGTTTGTTCTAGATACATAATATCTGTCAGTATGAAACGCGTTGATAATAATTTATACGGAAGATGCGTTGTTAGAATATGACAAAAGAAATATATATATATATAAAAGAATTTATAGATATAAATATATATTTCTATTTTATTTCTCTTTCAAAAATCCTCTCTCTTAATCTAAATTATTTTCTATTTGTTCCACAATATACAAAATATAAAAATATAAATAACATAAAAATCAATTCTCGATAATATATGTATGTGTATATATCTCAGTACATATTTTTTATATATTTTCTACATAATATAAGTATTTGCGATAGCTTAATCAGTATCATATGTATTTTCAAATATATATTATAAAAAATCAGAAATAATTTGTCTAATTGTCAACAATCGCCATCAATCATAACTCAATCTATATACTAGTAGTACTCTATTTGAAAGTTATTGCTTGGAAGAAATCCATAAAATCATGTGCAAGAGTGCAATCGAGAGTGCTAAAGTTCAAAAGGTTGAGTAAATGGTCGAGGCTCAACAGCGCGTGTTGCGAGGGCATAAATATCAAAAGCATCCTTAGGAAAAGAGTGGTGAAACCGCGTGGAGCACGGACGTCGAAAAAAGGGCACCGAAATCCCGAGGAAATTAGATAGCCTCGCGCATAAGAGATGCCGCGCCGGAAAAAGCCGAATCTAAATGCAAATATGCGGCTGACTGGCGCGCGTGCATCGAGAGCTGGGCGTAGCGTCGAGAGTATTTTGTGAAATTCCCGCGACACAACAACGGGAAAGTATTTTCGCGCTATCGATCTCCCCTCTTTACTGTCACTTAATAAAATCTAAATAAAAATGTCTGTCGCCAGATAACTGTCCGCATGGTGACTTATTCAGAAGGGTAAAGCCGAGCATAAACACTTAAAAATCATGCTTTCCTGTTTTTTCACCCATCTCCAGATCAAGGATAAAAGTAGACAAGTTACGCGAGAAATATCTAGAGAATGTCGCAGAAGCGCACAAATTGTTGAGACAGTTAGATAGGCATTACAGCGATGGGAAAAAGCGCTATAGACACGTTCTTATCAGCATACGGACAAAAGCATTGCAGCATTCTTTGCGCACGATGCTCTTCACGACCTCCTTTTCATAGGAAAACTAAGATATACGTTATGTACATGCGACCACCTACGGGAAAGTTTGCGCGTTTTTCTCATACGTTTGCACACGAATTGTGCGTTCGTCGCGTTGCATATATACATGTATTTATTCTGTATAGTAAAGTGTGTGTGAGTTGAATATAATACATAAGGAGAAGCGATGAAAGATGTGAAGGAAAACGCCAAGATGTACTGTCGAGTTTTTTTTGCTGGAAAAAGTAATTTATCATTATTCGACTTTATCATTATACATACACATACAAGTTTCCTCGTTTGATAAATATCTGAAATGTTAAGAATTCTAAAGGAAAATATTGTAATATAATTTATGAATTAAAAATATTATTATTGTAAAAATTATTGTACTTTATCAATAAAATATAATTTTTTCTTTTAAATATAATCCATTCATCGCTATCTTCTATAAGCTTTCATTATTTAAAAATATGTAAACTGAAATAAGATAATAGAGAAGCATAGCTATTTTTTATGATATGCAAATTTGTTATAAATTTATATTATATAATATATATATATATATATATATATATATTCATTCACATTTATAATAATAATATAAATTATAATCAAACTTAAGCTATGCATAACCTTAAGCTATATAGAGACAAAATATTAAATAAAAGTAAATAAAATTTTATAAATACAATATATTGTATATACACATATATACATAGAAGATAGAATATGATAAGCAAGTATTATATAATAATAAATTATTCATGATTGTAATAAAAAATTATAATTGACAAGAGTGTATAATTGCTGATTAATTTTGTAATAAAGTCTGGCGCTTACCAACGACGTCAAGCAGGAGAAATATACTCGTCGGTGGATGAGTGGACACTTGGCACTCATATAGTCCGGCATCCCTCGGTTGGACGTATTTTATTTGAAGAGTCCAATCCTCGCTGTGGTGGAAATGAATTGCCTGAAACCGCTCGTCGTTGGCGTACGTCGTTAGTCCTACAGTTAGTAATTCCTGTACGTTTTTTCGCTTGATCCATGACACCTGCGAGTCACAGAAAAAAAATTTCTTAGTAAAGATAATCCGGTACTCATGAACAGTATTCCGGTCCAAAAAAATAGAAAAAACTTTTTTTTTAACAACAGATTTTATTTTCTGTCTGTGTCTTGTGATTCTTTGATAGTTAGACAAAATATTTTATTTTCCTTACTAGAAAAATTAATATACATTAATTGTGTAATAACTTTTGTCTCTGTAAAATCAATATTCATTTAATCTTATATCAATTACATCATATAACAAATATAATTGCGTCATAACTGCAAATATAAAAAAATTATTAAATTCAAAGTTAAATTACGAGATAAAATATTTCCATAATTTCAAAATTGAAAAGTGAAAAATAAATTAAAAAATTCTAAAATCATATATGTATGTAAAAATTATTTAATTCGTATATATGCATAGATGAAAAAATTGCTGGAAAATTCTCTCGATTTTACGCAACGAGAATAGAACAGAGAGAGTTTACATATATGTTATAACAAAATTATATTATTTATATATAAATTATATTATTTATATATAAATATGAATAATATAATATAAAATACATAAATATAGTAAAAATAATATAATATGTATGAAAATATGTATAAAAATATGCCTCACAATAATTTTTTATATTATTTTTAATTATTTTGTGCGAATAACTAAAATGAATTTTAAGTTCACTGTATTCAGTTTTTATAACAAGAAATTATCTTTTGTTATAGTTTTTATTTGATATAATAAGTGAGAATACAGATTGCTAATGTAGCTGTCACAATTGTTAGCCATACCGTTGGACTACTGTCCGTATATAATGAACAGTAATCACTGTCCGTTTATAACGGTTAGTAACTACTGTCCGACATGGCGATCCGCAACTACTGATACGTCCGTAGAACACAAACAGTAACTACAGCGCGTAACTACTGTTCTACAATATTATATGTTTGTTATTACATTAATGACTCGTGCCTTATTTCTGCATACGTAGGTTATACTATGTAAAGATTAGTTATATAAACAAAGATGTATATGAAGTATCTCATACGTAATCGAAATATATCGCTTTTAGCATGATTTAGTAAATTTGTATCCTGAATAAATACATGAATTTATAAAGACGGTAAATAATAAAATAAAACATAAATTGCTATATTTTTTTTCTTTTAGATTGTCTCGACACCAAATAATATTTCAGTATACTTTAGCAGCAATCTACACGTTATGATAATTCAAAATGCACATATATAATTTAGAAACAAAAACTTTACTTTTTTTCTGCATAAATTGCAAAAAAAAATTACAAATAAAATTTCTTATATTTTTACAGAAATACAGTTTACGTATACAACTGTTTTTAGAAAAACATAAGTTATGAGTTCTCTTTTAACCTCGTATAAGGTTGGCTTTTATATTGTAATATCCCATTTGCAATTTTAATGACTTTAGCGCAAAAAATTTATATTATTGTATATACGTTTTATACATTTTTATGGTTTTCATTTCTGTTTAAAAAACTGCTACAACTTATATCCTCTTATGCATTTTCTCATGTACGTATTAAATTTTATTAGAATAACTTCTCTCTACAAAATCAATAACAGTCTTCTTTACATTTTAAAGCATATTTGCATCAATTATTTCATTGCCGTAAAACTCGCATCTCCGCTGATAGTCATTTTAATGCGTGATATCGGCTTAAAAGCTTAAACAATGAATATTCCCATTAGCTTGGCTCCCTCATCACTATAGTTAATTATGAACATCTCGCGCGCGAGAGATGGAGAGAGGTGCGTGTTACCTATACCAAATTAGGCGTTATAAAGTTCATGACGTCAATACCAACAACCATTATCACGCACCGGATACTCATAACTTATAATTGATAAAAACTTGCAACAATCAATAACTGCGATATATGTATATATATATATATATATATATATATATATATACATATACACATACATGTACACATATATACACACGTATATACGACGGTCAGTAACTACAGCACGTCAATAACGCTCGGTAACTATCGTACGTATTTCCACCTCACTTGGACTATCTGAAAGCCACCAAGAAGCGCCGTCAGCCAGAATAATCCGACGACTGTGCCGTGAGATGATTGTAGGGCTCGTGACCGGAATTGATCGTGAACTCCAAAGACGTTCAGATCCCTCTTGATAACCACATATTTTTTACCCCTTTGTCACGCTACCATTTCTTGCGATAAAGAGAAATATACGTGTTGAGTAAGAAGTATCGTGATGCATAAAACATTAGTTATTTATAAACCGAAAAGTGTTTATATTAGAAGCATCATCAGCGGTATCATCTACATTGATTTTATAAATATTATAATGTATCTTTATGTATTTTTTTTTATTCGTGAATATATATATGTGACAATAATATAAAAATTAAAGCTCGAACATCGTTTTACCGAATATTCTTCTATGTATTACTGTTCTCGTCTTAGAATTAGTTTGGTATGTATTACTGTTCCCGCTTCTGTTCGCACAGCATAAACTGGTGATATTTGTTCGTAGAAGAATATATCGTAGAGAAATTTTCTACGAAGTTGATCAGAAGATATATCTCAGCAAGAAAATATTTTGCTACAACTTGGCCAGTTCCATCCATTTTCGCATTTCGTCGAACGAGAAATTTAAAGTATGTAAATCTAAATTAGTCGTTTACTGGACAGAATAGTTAACTTTATATTGTGTCAAATTAAAAAAAAATTTAAATAACTTATTTCAATGTAATTTAAGCTGAGAAAACTATATCAAACGCAACCGAGTGCTAGAATGTAAATAAAGACAATTTCATCAAAATCGGCTACTGTAAACACTAAAAAGTTTTATAGCAAACTTGTTTCTATTGAATTGAACCGCCTCTGTACATCTAATATGTAGACAATGTCTGCAAACATAGAGTGTTTTACAAACAGTAGAACGAAATATTCGTAATGTATTCATATACGTGTACATACTAGAAGAAATACCAAGAAATTTACATAAGAAATAAAGAGAAAAATTTTTCTAGAAAAATTCACAGTGCAAAATATAGAAAAATAAAAAGAACAGACTACACATAGAAAACCAAATGTAATTAACTTTTTTATTTTAGTTGACGGCATCTCTCTCGATTTCTGCGAATTTTTATTTTTTATCATTGCTATTATTATTTTTTATTATTATAAATTAATTATATTTAATTATACTTAATTATTTATAGTTAGGTAATTAAAAAGATATATTTATGAATATTATTAATTAAAAAGATATATGTATAAAGCATGTATGTTTCCTAATTTTCAAATTTAAAATTAAATGAACACTTAATTTTGAGATTTATATGTTTCCTTAAAAAAAATGTCTTATCTAAAATTTGGATATTTAAGGTTAAATGTATATAAATGTGAATCTAGTTCTGAACCTCACTTGCTTTCCACCAACTCAGATAATTCTTACTTGTGACATCATAACTCAGTTAAATGCACTTTCTTTTCGATGTTGACAAATGAAATTCAACTAATTTTTGAGATTTAATTATTTTTTACTCATAACTGCAAATAACTGGTTTCACCGTAGTAATTCGTTATTTGTATATTGCCATCAAACCAGAATCTTATATTTTCTTTATAACGAAAAAATATCTTATGTATCATCTGAATAGCCAATATCATTAACCTGTAATTTTAATGAAACTATATTTTCTCTAATAGTGTAACACAAAAAGCGTCTATTAATATATCATAGTAGATATTGTTGCAAACTTTATCGTATATTTTAACTTTTCCCTATAAAATGATTTAAAATAATCTCCCCGCTCTTTCAAGAAAACACATAATCGATAGCGAAATATTACAGAAAACTCTCAATTTAGTCCGAAGTAGAACATTGGATCCGAGAAATATAAGTATTAAAAGTACTTGAAAAAGAAGTTCATACGTATGTACTATTCCCCAACTGGACACAATATAAAGTACTCTCTGAAATCTCGAAAAAATTAAACGACAATGGGAGAAAAGAGGTTCTTATTCTTTATATCTATTATCATGTTGTTTGAAATAAGCAGATTCGGAAAAGTACGAAACACTAAGAGATATTTCTGTTATAGGAAATAATGGCGGGAAATAAGCATAACAATCGATATCCGTTTTCGCGTTTTCTCAAACAATCTACGATGCCTAAAAACGGTCAGTATATGCCATCATAAGAAAAGCTATCGGCAAGGATTATCCGGTGAATGCGCGATCCTCTTCGAACGATGGTACCGCTTCTAGACAGAATTGACCAGCAAAATCGGAAAGAAAGAGGTCTGCTCGCGACGATAGGATCTCTTCGTCCATATATGCCTTTATATTCTCCGTAAAGTTCTAAGCACCTGCTAAAGCGAGATTGAGGAGCTTTTTCTCGCGGAAAATTGAATTCCATCGATCGGGCATACGCCGCGCCATCGTCCGGTTCTAACGACATCACTTTAATCGAAACGCTTCAATCAATCTTGTGCAATCGTGATTCTATTAATGTAATTATTGTAGATTTTATTATGACAAATTTGCTTATTTTTAAACATGAAACATTTCTGCTTCGCTTCTTCCATAGAAACAATTATTAACTAATATTTGAATGAAAATAATGGGAAAGATATATTCAATTATTTTTGTTAAGGAAACAATTTCCTATTTATTTCATTGAAATAACGTCGATATTTAATGATTTGATAAAAATGTATAGAGATAGAGATAACATAAGAGACAATCAACAGCAATAGCTGTCCCTACAGCTAAGCAGAATATTTCGATGTTAATAATTATTTTCTAAATTATTATATCTATTATATTAGATTTTTTATCTATTATATTAGATTAATAATAAAGAAATTTGTCATATTGATAATATCAGTGCATAGTTGAAATAAATTAAGTGTAATCGCATTTGTCGTCATGTCACAATTGAAAAATATGTTCACCGTACTGCAAG